ATGGTAGGTATGAGACATTATCTAAGAAGAACATATCAAACCCTAGTAGAAACATAACGTGAGCAAATAAAAATTACATATGGAATTTTCAAAATTGTATTAGTCACATGAAAGAAATAAAAGGAAATCAGTATAATTAACTTTAATAATGTATTTCATTTAACTTAATATATCTGAAATACTATCATTTCCAAATGCAATCCATTTTTTTAATTACTAATGAGAAATTTTACATGGTTTTGTTGATATGTCTTTGAAATGTACTTTTTACACTTAACAGCACATCTCAATTCAAACTCACCACATTTCAAATGCTTAACAGTCCCATGTGGCTGATGACTGCAGTATTAGAGAGTATAAAAGAGTGAAAAGAATAGATGAGGCCAAAGTACAGAATTCTGGGTGCAATCATTTCAAAAGCAGGCTGAGGAAGAGGAGGCCATGCAGAAAACTGAGGAGAGAACAGACATGTGGAAGGAAAACCAGGAAAGATTGATATCATGGGCGACAAGGAGGAAAAAGAGCATTAAGGAGGGGTAGGTAGCCAACAACTGTCTACTGCCACTGAAGTGAAATAAGAAAAGTGAAGTAAGTCAGACAGAGAAAGACAAATATATGATATTGCTTATGTATGGAATCTAAAAGACTCACAGATTTAGAGAATGAATTTATGGTTACCGGCAGGGAGGGGAGGGAGAATAGATTGGGAGCTTAGGATTGACATGTACATACTACTATATTTAAAATAGATAACTGGGGCTTTCCTTTTGGTCCAGTGGTTGGGACTTTGCCTTTCAATTCAGGGGGTGCATTGTCACCCCGCTTACTTAACTTATATGCAGAGTACATCATGAGAAACGCCAGGCTGGATGAAGCACAAGCTGAAATCAAGATTGCCAGGAGAAATATCAATAACCTCAGATATGCAGATGACACCACCTTTATGGCAGAAAGTGAAGAAGAACTAAAGAGCCTCTTGATGAAAGTGAAAGAGGAGAGTGAAAAAGCTGGCTCAAAGCTCAACATTCAGAAAACTAAGATCATGGTATCCAGTCCCATCACTTCATGGGAAATAGATGGGGAGACAGTGAACACAGTGGCAGATTTTATTTTCTAGGGCTCCAAAATCACTGCTGATGGTGACTGCAGCCATGAAATTAATAGACGCTTACTCCTTGGAAGAAAGCTATGATCAACCTAGACAGCATATTAGAAAGCAAAGACATTACTTTGCCAACAAAGGTCTATCTAGTCAAAGCTTTGGTTTTTCCAATAGTCATGTATGGTTGTGAGAGTTAGACTATAAAGAAAGCTGAATGCAGAAGAATTGATGTTTTTGAATGGTGGTGTTGGAGAAGACTCTTGAGAGTCCCTTGGACTGCAAGGAGATCCAACCAGTCCATCCTAAAGAAGATCAGTCCTGAGTGTTCATTGGAAGGACTGATGTTGAAGCTGAAACTCCAATACTCTGGCCATCTGATGCAAAGAGCTGACTGATCTGAAAAGACCCTGATGCTGGGAAAGATTGAAGGCGGGAGAAGGGGACAACAGAGGATGAGATGGTTGGATAGCATCACTGACTCAATGGACATGAGTTTGAGAAAACTCTGGGAGTTGGTGATGGACAGGGAGGCCTGGCATGCTGTAGTCCATGGTGTCGCAAGGAGTCGGACACGACTGAGCTACTGAACTGAACTGAACTCAGGGGGTGCAGGTTCAATCCCTGGTCGGGAAGCTGGGATCCCACAAGCCTCATAGTCAAATAAACAAAACATAAACACAGGCAATGTTGCAGCAAATTCAAAAGAGACTTTTAAAATGGTCCACATCAAAAAAAAAAATCTTTAAAAAAATAAATTAAATATAAAAAAATAAAAATAAATATAAATAAAAAATAAATTAAATAAATTAAATATAATAGACAGGGACTTCCCTGGTCAAGTGGCTAAGACTCCACATTCCCAATGCAGGGAGCCCAGGTTTGATCCCTGGGCAAGGAACTAGATCCCACATGCTGCAACTAAGAGTTCGCATGCTGCAACTAAGACCCAGTGCAACCAAATAAATAAATATTTTAAATATTCTTTAAAAATAGATAACCAAGAAAAACTTACTGTAAATTCATATATATATACATGTTGTGTCACTTCAGTTGTGTCCAACTCTTTTACGACCCTATGTGCTGTAGCCTGCCAGGCTCCTCTGTCCATGCGATTCGCCAGGCAAGAATACTGGAAGGGGTTGCCATGCCTTCCTCCAGGGGATCTTCCCGACCCAGGGACTGAACCAACATTCTTATGTCTCCTGCACTAGCAAGCAGGTTCTTTACCAGTAGTGCCACGTGGGAAGACTCTCTATATATATAGATAGATAGATAGATACACACATACACAAAAAAATAAAAGTATCCACTGTAGTTTTGAATTAAGAGGTCACTGGAGAAGGGGAACCCTCTTCCACTGTTGGTGGGAATGGATACTAGGACAGCCACTATGGAGAACAGTGTGGAGATTCCTTAAAAAACTGAAAATAGAACTGCCATACGACCCAGCAATCCCACTGCTGGGCATACACACCAAGGAAACCAGACATGAAAAAGACATGCGTACCCCGTATACCCCAAACAACACAGCACTGCTCACAATAGCTAGGACATGGAAGCAACCTAGATGTCTATCGGCAGAAGAATGGATTAGAAAGTTGTGGTACATATACACAATAGAATATTATTCACCTATTAAAAAGAACGCATTTGAATCAGTTCTAATGAGGTGAATGAAACTGGAGCCTGTTATACCAAGTGAAGTAAGTCAGAAAGGAAAACACCAATACAGTATATTAACACATATATATATGGAATTTCGAAAGATGGGGCCAATGACCCTACATGTGAGACAGCAAAAGAGACACAGATATAAAGAACAGACTTTTGGAATCTGTGGGAGAAGGTGAGGGTGGGATGATTTGAGAGAATAGCATTGAAACATGTACATTACTATATGTGAAACAGATGACCAATGCAAGTTCAATGCATGAAGCAGGGCTCTCAAAGCCGGTGTGCTGGGACAACCCAGAGGGATGGGATGTGGAGGGAGGTAGGAGGGGGGTTCAGGATGGGGGACACGTGTACACCTATGGCTGATTCATGTCAATGTATGGCAAAAGCCACAACAATATTATAAACTAATTAGCCTCCAATTAAAATAAGTCAATTAATTTTTAAAAAGAGGTCACTGGTAACCTTCCCCAGTGCAATTTCATTGGTGAGGTGCCTATGGAGACCCAAATTCAACAGATGGAGGAAAGAAACAAATAGTATCTCTCATTACTTAAATGAGTGATTCCAAAACCAAGTAGATCATCAGAACCACTCAGAAGGCTTTTTAAGAATACAAATATACAAGTAACACCACCCCAGGTTTCTGTTTCATTAGGTCTAAGACATGGGAATATATGTATTAGAGTTCTCTAAGCAATTCTAAAGACTTCAAGTGTACAGAAAAATAAGTATCAGTAGACCCAAATCTGAAAATCCTTAATTCAATCAGGCTCTGTAAGTCTTGTAGAATTGCATCCCATAGAACTGTCATGAAAAGTTTCTCAACATCTCTTACCCTTCAGGACAAGAATTATGATTTACTAGCATAAGTATAAACTTTATTACAAGTTCAAAGTTCTTTTCCAGTGACTATGACTGTAGGCCATAGACTGTAGTATTTATTATTTTTGCACTTGCTTATTCTCAATAAATGCGTTCCCCTGGTGGCTCAGATGGTAAAGAATCTGCCTGCAATACAGGAGATGTGGATTCAGTCCCTGAACCAGGAAGATCATCTGGAGAAGGGAAAGGCTACCCACGTTAGTATTCTTACCTGGAAAATTTCATGGACAGAGTAGTCTGGAGGGCTACAGTCCATGGGTTTGCAAAGAGTTGGACACGACTGAGTGACTAACACTTTTCACTTTCAAATCCTCAATATATAAAAGGAATGTCTAAAGAGGACTAAAAGTACATTTGACTCTACCTAAAGGTATTGTTTTTACACAGACTTAAGTATTAATCCTTGTAATAGTTCAGAACTCTTCATGATTTATGTTCAGATGTCTTCTCTTTAACTATGCAGTTAAAGACAGAAATTAAACATTTTTTTCTCAAAAGTCAATGTGGAAACTATTCTTCAGTTACAACTAAACAGGGTTATGTTTCTAGACTGCCAGTCCAAGGGGTAACATGAGTGAGAAGAAGGTGCTTCAGAACAAAGACTGACTGAGCTAAACTTATTTCCCTTTATTTCCTCAAAGCTGCACGTTGCCATTTAGGGATCTCTTTATGTTCCTCCTTTATAGGCAGTTCAGTTCAGTTCAGTTGCTCAGTCATTTCCAACTCTTTGCGACCCCATGGACTGCAGCACCCCAAGCCTCCCTGTCCATCACCAACTCCAAGAGATTACTCAAACTCATGTCCATTGAGTAAGTGATGCCATCCAACCATCTCATCCTCTGCCGTCCCCTTCTCCTCCCTCCCACAATCTTTCCCAGCATCAGAGTCTTCTCAAATTGGTCAGTTCTTCACATCAGGTGGCCAAAGCACTGGAGTTTCAGCTTCAGCATCAGTCCTTCCAATGAATATTCAGGACTGATTCGTTTAGGATGCACTGTTTGGATCTCCTTGCAGTCCAAGGGACTCTGAAGAGTCTGCTCCAAAACCACAGTACAAAAGCATCAATTCTTCAGCACTCAGCTTTCTTTAGAGTCCAACTCTCACATCTATAAATGACTACTGGAAACACCATAGCTTTGACTAGGTGGACATTTGTTGCCAAAGTAATGTCTCTACTATTTAACATGCTTTCTAGCTTCTTGTTTTCTCCACAGGAATCAGCCAGGGAAATGGCCGGGGAGTTTCAGGAAACCCAGGCGCCGTTGCCTCACTGGAACCCAGGCTGACGAGGCAGGGCAGCAGGTTAAACCAGAGCAGTTCCGCTTGGGGTGGGGAGGCCATGGCGTCCGGCAGTAACTGGCTGTCTGACGTGAATGTCGTGCTGGTGATGGCCTACGGGAGCCTGGTGTTCATACTGCTATTTATTTTTGTGAAGAGGCAAATCATGCACTTTGCAATGAAATGCCGAAGGGGACCTCATGTCCCTGTGGGACACAATGCCCCCAAGGACTTAAAAGAGGAGATTGATATCCGACTGTCCAAGGTTCAGGATATCAAGTATGAACCTCAGCTTCTCGCAGATGATGATGCAAGACTGCTACAGCTGGAAACCCAGGGAAATCAAAATTGCTACAACTACCTATACAGGATGAAAGCTCTGGATGCTATCCGTGCCTCTGAGATCCCATTTTATGCTGAAGGCCAGCATCCCCATTCCTTAATGGGCAAGAATTTCTGCTCCTACCTGCTAGATCTTTGAAACACTAGTACTCCTTTCAAGGGTGTATGCAAGGCCCTCACTGATACCCTGCTTGATGGCTATGAGACAGCCCGCTATGGGACAGGGGTCTTTGGCCTGAGTACCTGCGCTATCAGGTGGCCCTGAGTGAGCTGGCCACAGTGGTCAAAGCACGAAGTGGGAGCTCTCGGCAACAGCACCAGTCAGCAGCCAAAGACCTAACCCAGTCTCCTGAAGTCTCCCCAGCAACCATCCAGGTGACATAGCTCCCCTCCAGTCAGAAGAGTAAACGTGCCAAGCACTTCCTCAAATTGAAGAGCTTTAAGGACAACTATAACACACTGGAGAGTACTGTGATGGAGCTGAAGGCCTCTCACTGTTGACGGAGCCAGGCAGACTGAAGTGTGCTTGCCGGGTGGCCCTCACTCAGGTCATCTGGTTCAGCCCAGCTCTGGATCAGCTGAAGCTCTGGTTGTGTTCAGAGCTCCTAAGATTTCATGCCTAGAGGATCATTCTCCCACCCTCTCTTATGGCCAGTTTCAGAACATCAGTTAAGACTTTATTTTCCCTCGGTATGACTTTTCTCTGGAGTTGAATTAGATGTTTTCCTCAATATTTCTGTCAAAGCTTCCTTAAAAATCCTCACTCGGTTTTTTGATCATGGTTCATCTGTCCTTTTCCAGACTATAAATTTTCCCAAGGGTGACGGGGCTTGGTCTCTTGTCTTCTGTACACAGTTGAATGGGAGCCATTTGGTTTGAGACATCTAAGAGTTGACTGGTGGAAATGGCATACAGAATGGTGGGGAAATTGGTGGAGGCCATGAGTGGTACCTAGAACAACTTACCCTGGTGCTCCACTTAAACCAGAATGTTAATGGGAACATTAACAAGTTCTCTAACATGCAAGAATCTGCCTTCCACTTTCATTGTATACTGTCATGAATAAGTTGAAAAAGGAATGTTTTAACATCTGATATAATCCCATCACTCCTTATTTGTGGGATCGTGTGAAGGAATAGACCAATATCCTGATCTGACTTTATAAACCATTTAATGAATAATTAAAAAATAAACCATATGATTCATTCCTCTGTAGTTGTCTTTTAATAAAACAGGCATGTGAGGACTTCAGTGGTCCAGTGGCTAAGACTTCATGCTCCCAATGCAGTGAGTATTGGTTCCACCCCTAGTTGGGGAACTAGAGTTCGATCAAAAGTTTGATCAAAGATCCCACATTCGGCAACTAAGACCCGGTGTAGCCTGGTTTTAAAAAAAATGTTTATGTTTATTTATATTTGGCTGCACCGGGTCTTAGTTGTTGAATGTGGGATCTTTGATCACACTCTTAAGAGTTGTGGTATGCAGACTCTTAGTTGGATCATGTGGGATCTCAAAAGAAGAAATCCTAAAGTTGCAACTGGGGTCCTTGCTCATAAAATTGCCTGTGTCACTAATAGAAGGCTGGAGAATCAGGATTCCCTTCAGGTCTCTGGGGCAACAGACCAGGTGACCAATCAACGCTCGTAGGCCTAGGCTTATTGTTGGAGGTGTNTTCTTCTGTGTATTCTTGCCACCTCTTCTTAATATCTTCTGCTTCTGTTAGGTCCATACCATTTCTGTTCTTTATTGTGTCCATCTTTGCATGAAATGTTCCCTTGGTATATCTAATTTTCTTGAAGAGATCTCTAGTCTTTCCCATTCTATTGCTTTCCTCTATTTATTTGCATTGATCACTGAGGAAGGCTTTCTTATCTCTCTTTGCTATTCTTTGGAACTCAGCATTCAGATGGGTATATCTTTCCTTTTCTCCTTTGCCTTTCATTTCTCTTCTTTTCACAGCTATTTGTAAGGCCTACTCAGACAACCATTTTTCCTTTTTGCATTTCTTTTTCTTGGGGATGGTCTTGAGCCCTGCCTCCTGTACAATGTCATGAACCTCCGTCCATAGATCTTCAGGCACTCAGTCTATCAGATCTAATCCCTTGGATCTATTTCTCACTTCCACTGTATAATCATAAGAGATTTGATTTAGGTCATACCTGAATGGTCTAGTGGTTTTCCCTACTTTCTTTAAGTCTGAATTTGGCAATAAGGAGTTCATGATCTGAGTCACAGTCAGCTCATAGTCACTTTACCCTAATTTTACTTAGATAAAATTGCTTGAGTGCAGAGTATACACTGTGATTTGTCATGCAGTCCAATCTCCCAGGAAAGATACTAACTCAGAATTTAAGCCCAATAACTTCCCGTCAAAACTCTCTATAATACAAATAGTCATTCAAGACACTCTGCATCTTTCTTTTCGCTATGTAAAAATTACAGTATTAATCAAACACTATATCCTTGACTACCCAATCTTTCCTACAAAAGAACTTTAGAAAAAGAAGGAAAAAATTCTACTGTATTAGTCTCCAAAATAAAAGTACATAAAGACCCCAAAAGCTGAAAAATTCTCAACGGAGCATTTGGTCCAACTTCCTGCCTTTAGGCAGGTAAATTACTAAATCATCCAGGAAGATGCTTATCCCTCTCACTTAAAGATCTCCAGAGAAAACAGAGCAGTTACTGAGTATCTAATACATGCCAGGCATGCACCAGACAGGGAAAAGGAGTTAGCATTATTTCCCAGGTGTTTGCCTACACATTATCCCATTTAATCTGAGTACATTTTCCAGAATGTGTGTTAGTAGTCTCATTTTTACAAATGAAAAAAACAAGGCTCAGAAATGTTAAATGGAACTAGGATTTCAAGCCAGGAGAACATCTTTCTGTTCCGCCGTGCTAACAGAAATTGCATAACCAGTTTCCTTACACATGACAATGTTCAATACCCTAATGGTCATAAAGCTCTTCTTCAGCTAACTGAAATGTCTTCTCTAATATGAGCTCATTGTCTCTTATTCCTTGTTCTGTAAGTAATAATTATTCCACATCCTCCAAAATATCAATAGAGAAAACAGTACTCAAATCATTCCTTTGCCTTATCTATAGCAAACAAATCCAGTTCTACAGACATTCTCCCCGAAGAATTATTTTGTACTCCTGGGATAATTTGGGCCATTCTTTTTAGGATTTTCTCTGATTGTAACACTTTTTCAAAGCATGATGACTCAAAATGAACACAATGCTCTCAAAAGTAACCACTTACTGAGATTTTAGAAAAAGGTTTTTTTCTTTCATAAGATTCAGAAAGCAAAAACATTAGAAAGAAACTTGTTTAAATGCTTTTTAATCATGGCAAGCTGAGGAGTTTTCCAAGTATTTTCACATTTTTCCAGTCACAACCCAAAAGTTCTCTATTCATATTTTTTTTAGTATGAGGCTTGTATGAAGTGTTCTACTTGATAGAAAAGACTCCTTTTTCATTTAAGTATGTCCCTTCAGTTCAGTTCAGTCACTCACCCTTGTCCGANGGATGGTGCCATCTGCATATCTGAGGTTATTGATATTTCTCCCAGCATTCTTGATTCCAGCTTGTGCTTCTTCCAGCCTGGCGTTTCTTATGATGTACTCTGCATATAAGTTAAATAAGCAGGGTGACAATATCCCTTAAAGGACTCCAAAAGGGATCCAGAATGCCATGATTGTTGCTACACGTAATCAACCTCTTACTATCAAACTGAAGTTGAATCTTTAAAGATTCCAAATTCATATATAACAAATAATCAATAAGCACCAACTCTGTAGTGATCTGTGTTATACCCTAGGGATACAAAGAAATATCTCTCAGCACCAACCAAACGAAACCAAACCAAAAGAATAAATCAATAAGCAGCAACTGCGTAGTGGATCTGTGTTTGCCCCAGGGATACAAAAGTAAGTATCCCAAAGACACTCTCCCTGAATTAAGGCACTTACATTCTAAAGTCAGACAGACAGACAGATATACAATTAGCAACAGAATGAAAATTACATAGGACCATCAAGAAAGATGCTAACAGTAAGCATCTTCCAGCTGAGAAAATTTGAAAGAAGCAAATATTATCCATGGACAATATTTCAAAACAAAGATCCCAATCTATACTCCTTTTCTATGTTGGTATTCATGTATACATAAATGTCCTTTCTGTCCTACAACATTTAAATAAACTGTTTATATTTACTTTTCTCTTTCTATTTTTTTAAAAATAAAGATTTTTTTTCACATTTCTCTGGAATGTTTCCAATTTGTTGACATTTCTAAGGCATCTTTGGTGCTTATAAACCAACTCAGTATTATAGTTCCAAGCATACCAGTGCTATATATAGATGAGCTATAATAAACTTCTTGCTCTTCCATGTGAAACAAGAAGGGACCCAGTTCAACATGATACTGACAACATCAAGAGAATGGACAGAAAGAAACAAGTTGATTTTAAATAAAATGTTAAGCAAAAATAATTTATTCCTATTTTGATTGCATTTACTGGACAGTTTAAAAAGATAGGAATAATAACAGCCTCTATAACAAGGACTATTGACCATTAAGAATCCTCATTCCCAACCAGACATAATTGCTGAGCTTCCTTACCCTGATAAAGGGAAGACACATGCCTCCTCATTCCTTAGTCCCTGTAATCCCAACAAGAAATTTTCTAGATGATAAAACCTTCCCAGACTGTCATGATCAAAAGAAAACATCAGAGCAAAATGAGATTGCAAAAAAGAAAAAATGCACAAACCTACAGATTGTAAACAGATAATTCAGCCTCCTATTTTTTAACTGTTTCATGGAGTCAAGCAAAAATAAATTGCTTCTTACCTAATCCTCCCTCTATTGTTCTTTTCAATTTGTAGACGAATTCAAACTGAAGGACATCTCTATTGCTAATCTCTTTCAGACTTTAAAGTAACAGTTGATTTTTATCATATCAAAGCTCATCAATCACTAAACATGTGTTAAATTTCTGAAGAACTTTCTAGAAAAAAGAGAAGATAAATTTTTCTAGGTCATTTGAATTACAAAAAAAGAGACAGAGATAGAGAATAAAACTGACATCTTAAATGATATGAGATTACATGACCCCTTACAGAAAAAATTTTTAGCAAACATTAGATAATTCAGAATAAGATATAATACTTCTAAAATGTATGCTTTCTCTGAAAGAAAAAAAACTTAAACTAAATAGGGGAGGCTTCTCCTCTCACAAGAAATGTAGGTTATTTCTTGAAAAACTGGTATTGTTAGTATGGGGGCAGGAAGACATGTGTGTGAAATCTCTTACTAGGACACTGCTTTAGAAAATAAGTTTTAGAGAAATTTGAGGATTTTTGCATTCTTATATAAATTTCACAGAGAAATTTCTTTCTCTGGGTTTCCTTCCATTTAGGGGCCAAATGTGAGAAAAGCAAAGTAGAATTACACTGCGATATAAGTTCTACGGAATAATAGCTGAACATTCAAATAAGCTTCAACAATAAATATCAGCAGTATTAATATCAGTCACTGGAATTGAGTTTCTTTTCCATTTTAGAAAACTGGTACATTTTTGGAAAATTGGCAGTATTACTAAAGTTAAATATACACCTAACCCGTAACCCATCTGTTCCACTATGAGGCATATATACCCAAGGGAAATGAGTGTGTATTCAAAATAGACAAAAACTGGAAACAGCTCAAATATTCATTTTCAGAACAATGGATACATTGTGGTATAATCATACAACAGAATACTATACCATCACTGATACACACAACAATCTAGTGAACCTCAAAAAATTTGTGTTGGACAAAATAAGCCAGACACTAAAAAGCATATACTACAGAATTCTATCTGCACAAGTCCAAAATAGGTAAAACTAGTCTACAGCAGTAGAAGTCAAAATAATGGTTACCTCTAGGAGGAGGTGGTATTGTTTGGGAAGAGATATGAGGGAACTCTCTGGAGTGATGGAAATATGCTGTATCTTGAACTGGGTGGTATTTATCCTGGTGTATATATTTGTAAAACATCACTGAACCACACCTTTAAGATTTTTCATTTTGTTATATATAAGGTATACTTTACTTTTTATGAGCTTTAAAAACCATTAAAGATGTGCAACTACTTGGCCACAAAAAGAATGAAATGCCATTTGCAGCAATATGGATGGACCCAGAGATTATCATATTAAGTAAGACAGAAGAAGACAAATATCATATGATATCACCTATATATGGAATCTAAAAAAAGAAAAATGATACAAATGAACTTATTTACAAAACAGAAATAGACTCAAAGACATAGAAAACAAAGTTATGGTTATGAAAGAAGATAACTGGGGGAAGATAAATTAGAAGACTGGAATAAACATACACACACTAATATATATATATATAATAGGTAAACAAGTTATTATCATTATAGTACAGGGAACTATATTCAATATCTTGTAATAACCTACAATGGAAAAGAACCAAAAAAATTATATATATATATACATATATATATATATATATACAGCTTAGACAGTAAAGAATTTGCCTGCAAGGCAGGAGACCCAGGTCCAATCCCTGGGGTGGGAACATCCCCTGGAAAAGGAACTGGCAACCTGTAGTCTTGCCTGAAGAATTTCATGGCAGAGAACCCTGGCGGGCTACAGTCCATGGGGTCAAAAAGAGTCGAACACAACTGAGTGACTAACACTTTCTTTCATTTGTCACTTTACTATACAGCTGAAATTAACACAACATTGGAAATTAACTATACTTCAATTTTTTAAATGGTAAAATTTTAAATGATTCAACAGTGCTTTTACACCTAGACAGTATTATGCTAAATGAAATAAGTCAGATAGAAAAAGACAAATACTGTATGACCACTTAATTGTGGAAACTAAAAAACAAAACAAATGAACAAACACAGTTAAATAGAAACAGTTATAAGGAACAAACAAGTGATTGCCAGAGAGAAGGAGGCTGGGTAGAAGAGAGAAATAGATGAGGGAGATTAAGAGGTACAAACTTCAAGTTACAAAATAAATGAGTCATAGGTATGAAATGTACCGTGTGGGGAATAAAGTTAATAATTATATAATACTGCTGTTTTGTAACAGATAACAACTAGATTTAACAAGGGGATCATTTTGAAATGTATACAAATACTGAATCATTATGGTGCACCCCAGAAACTAACAGCATTGTAAGTCAATCATACTTCAAAAACAAAGTCATAGAAAAAGAGATCGGATTGTAGACACCACAGGCAGTGGCTGTGACGAGTGGGAGCTGGATGAAGGCAGTCTAACAGTAGAAACTTTCAGTTATAAGGTACATATGTACTAGGGATGTAGCATACAACATGATAGAGATAATTAACACTGTTGTACAATATATATGAATGTTGTTAAGACAGCAAATTCTAAAAGTACTCATACCACAGAAAAAAAAGTTTTCTATTTCTTTAATGCTGGATCTGTATGAGACAATAGCTCATTAAACCCATTGTGGTCATCATTTCATCATGTATTTAAGTCAAATCATTATGCCATACACCTTAAACGCTGCTGTATGTTAATTATATCTCCAAAACCTGAGAGAAAATTTGAGAAAGTATACTACCAACTGTGTTTTTTAAAAGATGGGAGAAGACTATTGTGTTTGGTTTTGAATAGAACACCTCTGAAAGCATGCAAAAGAAAAGCGATAACGTTGATCCTCTCTGAGGAGAAGCAGGTGAATTGAGGACAGAGGGAAGGAGATTTACATTGTAGACTCAGATACAGTGACAAAGACAAGTCACAATGCTACATAGTGTTCCACTTGAAAGTGATAGTGTTTGTGACACAGTCATGCCTGAATGCTTGCGACCCCATGGACTGCAGCCTGCCAGGCTCCTCTGTCCATGGAATTCTCTAGGCAACAATACTGGAGTGGGTAGACATTCCTTCTGCAGGGGATCCTCCAAGCTTAATTTTATGTAATTTTCTATCGTTTTTTAACTTTTCCATGAGTATATATCTAATCTAGTCAACCAAACTGTTACTTACAGAGTAACAATAAATTATTTCTGGTATCTAAAACAACACTACACACAGATGGTCAATACATCTTTTTCACTGATTGATGTACTTCTTGATGTTTAAATGTATCATAATGTATAGGTGAATTATTACTTAGAAAATGTATTGTGTGAAAGTTACTCAGTCATGTTCGACTCTTTGTGACCCCATGGACTGCCAGGGGTTCTCTGTCCATGGAATTCTCCAGGCCAGAATACTGGAGTGGGTAGCCATCCCTTCTCCAGGGCATCTTTCCAACCCAGGGGTCAAACCCAGGTCTCCTGCAGGCGGATTCTTTACGTCTAAGCCACCAGGGAACATGTACTACCTATGTCTTTGGTATTTTTATTCAGTGTGTTCACACTTTTTTTTTTTTTTACTTTATTTAATGGCATGTTTAGTTTCTCCCAGGAGTCCCATTTTCTTTGATCAAACTATCCACATTTTGGTCATCTATATACTTTAGGGGAACTTCCCAGCCCATCATCATGGAGAAGAGTATTATAAAGTCAAATAATCAACTAATAAAAATACATGGAAAAAAAATAAAAATAAAAAAAAATAAAATTGAAATAAAGACACCTCAAACAAATGAAAAAAAAAGTCAAATAATCCTTTCCCATCAGAATCAATGCATATAACAGACACAACTACACCCAAAGCGTTAAGTAACAAATTGGAAAATAAACAACCATTTACAATATTCCAGAGGGAAAAAGAAACCCTCCGCTATGCATATAGGTCAAATGAAAGTTGTTTTCCAGTCACTCAGTCATGTCCAACTCTTTGCGACCCCAGGGAGTGTAGAGCACCAGGGTCCTCTGTCCCCTTGGACGTCCGCAGACTAATCCAGTCAGCCATTCTGCTTCACACAGGATATCCCAAGGTCACACAAAAGTACCTTTACTAAGCTTGAGTAATACAATGCATATGGAAAATGTGTTCACCACTTGATCTATTGCTTCTTGCTAATAAGACTGTTATTTTCCAAGGGGCCATATTGACATTTAGCACCAAGTACATTCAACACTTCCATTTTTAAAGGCAATCACTTCCCATGGTTTCTTTCTAAAACTGACTCATGTTTAAGCCTAGGGGTCAGTAAAGATGAAAAATCCTTTGGAATAAATAGGTGAAAAATTATGACTATTCTAAAGAAAGATACTTACCTCGGGTCCTGTGATATGCATTAGACCAGAAACAGCAGAGGCAATAGCATCATAACCAGCTCGCTGAGACAGTGGACCTGTCTGACCATACCCTAAGACAACAAGAATAAATATATTCAACACCACCCAGGGAGAGCAATACTATAATGTATTCTGTGCTAAGTCACTTCAGTCGTGTCCGACTCTGCGATCCTAAGGACTGTAGCCCTCCAGGCTCCTCTGTCCATGGGATTCTCCAGGCAAGAATACTGGAGTGGGTTTTCATGCTCTCCTCCAGGGGATCTTGCCAACCCAGGGATCAAACACGCATCTCTTACGTCTCCTGCATTGGGAAGCAAGTTGTTTGCCACTAGCACCACCTGGAAGTCCAATAGTATTATAGGGTGTTAAAAGTATTTGTATCCAGAAATTCTGCAGCATTTTGTTGTATTAAACATACACTATCCTTTGAAGGAGGCAGTAAAAATTTAATTACGGTGTTACACCACAGACGGTTGCAAACTTGTAACCTGTGGGCCAGATTCTCCTTGTATGAATGTTTTGTCTGGCCTGATGAGTGTTTTGAAAAGTTTTTACTTAGTTTCCAACGTTTAAACATTAGGAAATAGCACATAAAATACAAATTTCTGGCTTTACCTGAAAAAAAAAAAACAGAAAATATGCTCAAACCTAGGCTCAGATCCTCACATGGCAATAACCAATAAGCCACGTTCTTCCCTTTGCACAGGGCATAAATTCTCCAATTTGCCCCAATTTCCACCCCTCCTTAATCCTTTATGGTTTAGTCTGATTCAGTCATTAACCAATAGGTATTTGCTACTCTTTTTCTGTACCAAACAATATGCAAAATAAAACAAAAGGGTATCTCCTTAGGTTTTATTTACAAGTTTTCTCAAGTATTCAAAGAAAATATAAATGAAAATTTTAAGTTTAAGTAAGTAAGTATTAGTTGCTTAGTAGTGTCCAACTCTTTGCAATCATGTAGACTGTAGCCCACCAGGCTCCTCTGTCCATGGAATTCTCCAGGCCAGACTACTGGAGTAGTAGCCATTCCCTTCTCCAGGGGATCTTCCCGACACAGGGATCGAATCCAGGTCTCTCACACTGCAGGCAGATTCTTTACTGTCTGAGCCACTGCTTGTAATGTGGGAAACCTGGGTTCAATCCCTGGCTTAGGAAGATCCCCTGGAGGTGGGTTGCCATGCCCAAAATTTGAACAATAAGAGAATTAATATATCTCCTGACAGTGCTTTTTAGGATTACAAACAGAAGGGAAAGCTATCATCTTTTCTCTGCCATTAGCAAATATTAGAAGAACAGAAAACATATTTTATCCTGCTCTCCTCAGTCCTGGGCTCACTGTTGGATAATATGAGGAGCTACATGAATCTGTATCCAAATTCCATATATTTTGCTTGCTCCTCCAGCAACCTGGAACACCCTCCCTCTATTTTATTCTATATATCTACATAACTCACATCCTCCAACTCTAAACGGAAATGTGTCCTTACCAGAGGTCTTCTCTGGAGAACTTTTATGAGAGATCACTCTCACTTCTCACTCTTAATCCCCCTTTCATGACTGTATTTGACCTTATACTTTTCATCACCACAAGATACATAATAAAGTTTAGTTATTTATTTTCTGTATTTTCTGTATCCTCCCTACTCAAAGGTATGCTCAAGAGATTTTTTTTTTTTCCTATTTAATTCACTGCAGTATTGCCAACATCTAGAATAGAATTCAATAATGGTTACCAAATGAATAAATGAATGAGTACTGGTTATAAAAAAAGTTATCTTTTAAGAAAGAAACAAATTAATTACTATAGAAACTAAAGAGGCTTTTTCCTCTGTTTGGTTTTGGACCAAAATGATGACATAGGAGGCCATTTTCCTCCTCCCGTGTACACAGTGAATGTAGTTACACACAGAACACTTCTCTCTGAGAGGAATTTGGGAATTGAGAAACTAGAGCAATCTACTAGAATGACTCCTACACATGGGGTAACACAGAAAATATCCATAAAAGGCTGAGACACTCTCACCATTAACCTCGCTCCAGGCACAGCACCATACAATTAGGCGGAAACTCCAGACTCCGAGTGTCCCCCTAAGGAGCAAACACAGGCAGCACATCAAGTGTCCCAGCTTGTAAGGCTCCTCCTGAGGAACGGTTCCCTAAAACTCCTGTCTCTGACAGCGAAATCATGAGTCCTACAGGACTACCGCAAACAAAGCTAATTACAGGCTCGTGAACGTTAAGCACAGCTACGCCCCACAGGTCTCAAGACTGGAGAGGCAGCAAAAATGGCCATCTCCCAGTCCTCCCCTAGAAAGGCTTTTTTTTTTCCCCTTGGTTTTTGTTTATTTATTTATTTATTCATTTTGAAATTCCAAGGAATTTTTTTTTGGGGGGGGGGGTTTGCCATACATTGACATGAATCAGCCATGGATTTACATGTGTTCCCCATCCCGGTCCCCCCTCCCGCCTCCCTCCCCACCCAATCCCTCTGGGTCTTCCCAGTGTACCAGCCCTGAGCACTTGTCTCATGCATTCCAACCTGGGCTGGTGATCTGTTTCACCCTTGATAGTATACTTGTTTCAATGCTGTTCTCTCAGAGCATCCCACCCTCGCCTTCTCCCACAGAGTCTAAAAGTCTGTTATGTATATCTGTGTCTCTTTTTCTGTCCTGCATATAGGGTTATCGTTACCATCCTTTTAAATCCCATATATATGTGTTAGTATACTGTATTGGTGTTTATCTTTCTGGCTTACTTCACTCTGTATAATGGGCTCCAGTTTCATCCATCTCATTAGAACTGATTCAAATGAATTCTTTTTAATGGCTGAGTAATATTCCATGGTGTATATGTACCACAGCTTCCTCATCCATTCGTCTGCTGATGGGCATCTGGGTTGCTTCCATGTCCTGGCTATTATAAACAGTGCTGCGATGAACATTGGGTTACACGTGTCTCTTTCAGATCTGGTTTCCTCGGTGTGTATGCCCAGGAGTGGGATTGCTGGGTCATATGGCAGTTCTATTTCCAGTTTTTTAAGGAATCTCCACACTGTTCTCAATTGCAGGAAAAAAACTATTAAATATTCAAACATATGGAGGCTAAATAACACGCTTCTGAATAACCAACAAATCATAGAAAGGCTTTAACTGCATACTTTACAAGCTGCTGCCTAAGGATCCTGACACTAACTAAAGTCTAAGTGATCCTACCTAACTGACATCTAACTGGAAGCTGAAGGAATCAGTGGGCACTCACCCACCTTCTCCATGCAGCTCACTCCCACAATAAAATCAGGTCACCATCATCTCTCTAGAAAGAGTTTCTAGAGAGATGGGGCACATTTCTTGTGCCCCAACTTTTGCAGATACTGCCTGGGAGATGGGCCCCCAGATCACCTGGTTCTGACTACCAACAGCACCTGCAGTTAATAAATCAAACTGGACTATAGCAAAGAAATAAGCAGCTTTCTAATGGGCTCAGGAATACCCTCCCCCCCAACCACAGCTATCTACCCAGATTCAGTACAAAGGGAGAAGACAGATACACCAATCTCCCAGTTTCTCCCCAGAAACTGCTTGACAGCATACGTTCCCGGTTGTTGCCTGAGGGTCTGGCTTCTAATCAGCCTGTATTGAGGCCTCACAACAGTCATTCCCTTTGGAATGCTGACGGGTCTTCTCATAACCTTAACTACTAAAAGGCATGAAATAAAAAGACAGTGGCTTGAACAATCACAAAGGTTTGCAAGGCAACCACGAATTCAGGCTGAGTTAATACACAGGATTCATCTCCTACACAAGACTAATCTGCCAAGACTGAAAGAGGCGCTGTTTTAACTAATGCATGAAAACCAATACAAGCATTCAAGGAAAATGAAGAAATATGGGAAAACGTTCCAAACAAGAGAACAAGTAAAGCCTCCAGAAACCAATCTTAATGAAACATACAAAAGTCATTTATCTGGCAAAGAGTTCAAAATAATGCTCAGAAGGATGTTCACAGAGGTCAGGAAAGCAATGCATAAGCAAAGAAAGATTTTTCAACAGAGATTGACAATATTAAAAAGTACCAAAAGACAGTAGAGAATAAAGGATAAAATAACTAAACTGAAAAATTCAATAGAAAGGTCCAACAGCAGACCAGCTCAACTGAAAATACCAGTGAATTAGGAGACAGAGTAGTGGAATACAACAAAGCAATGAAGCAAAAAGAAAAAAAAAAGACTAAAAAAGAAGTGAAGATAGCTTAAGAGACTTATAAGGCACTGAAAATGGGTCAATATACACATTATAAGAATCCTAGAAGGGGAGTCAGTTCAGTCACGCAGTCGTGTCTGACTCTTTTCAACCCCACGAACTGCAGCACTCCAGGCCTCCCTGTCCATCACCAACTCCCAGAGCTTGCTAAAACTCCTGTCCATCAAGTCAGTGATGCTATCCAACCATCTCATCCTCTGTCGTCCCCTAGGAGAAGAGGAGGGCTTTATTCAAAGAAAAGTGTAGGAGAGGAGGGCTCTATTCAAAGAAATAATAGGAAAGAATTGAGGGTAAGATGAGAAGGCAGAGACAGAGGATGAGATGCTTAGATGGTATCATTGACTCAATGGACATGAGTTTGAGCAAACTCTGGGAGACAGTGAAGGACATGGAAGCCTGGCATGCTGCAGTTCAAGGGGTCACAAAGAGTTGGACATTACTTAGCAACTGAACAATGATAATGACTGAAAACTTCCCTAACCTTGGGGGGAAAAGCCAAACATCCAAATCTAAGCAGTCCAAGGAGTACCAAGTATAATTAAATTGTCAAAAGTTGAAGACAAAGAACCATAAAAACAACAGAAAAGCAACTTGTTACTTACAAGGGAACCCTCATATGACTATCAGTGGATTCTACCTTGCAGGTCAGAAGGCAGTGGGATGAGATATTCAAAGTACTGAAAGGAAAAAAAAAAAAAAAAAAGATTGCCAAACGAGAATAGTCTACTCAAAAAAAAGTCCTTCAGAAATGAGAGAGAGATAAAGAATTTCCAGACAAATAAAAGCTGAAGGAATTTATCACCACTAGA